TTTTGAATAGCCCTTCTGCGATTTCTATGATACTTTGAATAATTGTTTGTTATGGGCAATCATTCACATTTTGCTAAAATTCGACAATTTTGGATGTTGTAAATTTTCAAAATCCCGTCTTTGAAATTTTTTGAGGAAACGGCACTTCTGATCGAAATGACGTGTAACTTTGTAGATGTTTTTCTTTTTTAATTATGTTTTTCTGTCTGTGTTCAAAATGTCCATGTCCGATTTTTGAAAAAAAAAATTAAAAAGTTTATGAAAAATGCAAATTTTTGAAATATTGAGGATCACTTTAAAATTGACAAAAATTGTAGAACAATAACTTTTGGGAAAAAGTTACAGAAAATTATTTATTTTTTGAGTACAAATTAAATTAAAAAGCGTTATAACAAAAAGTTCAAAAATTTTACCAAAAATTCTTGTGCTACGATTTATGTAAATTTTGTAAGTGTCCATAATTTAAAACATTTCAAAAGTATGCAAAGGAAAATCATAGATTGGACAAGAACATTTTGAAATAATTATGATTTTTATGTATATTTTTCCCCAGAAAAACATAATTTTTCTCTACATCTTTGTATTAGACGTCATTTTGATCCGTGCTACAATTCTCAAAGACGAACATTTTACAAGATCCTAAATGGCCAAATTTTAGCAAAAATGTTAACCCTCCGTTACTCGCGCTGTTGTACTTTGTACAACACACATGAGTTTTCCATTGCCATTTTGTTGCTGAGTTACCAATCGATCTGAAACCAACGAGTATTCCTCAAAAAACTTGTTTTGATCTATACAAGCTAAACATTGATTACAGTAAACACCTAAAAAATGCGGAAAATAGGGAAAATGTAAATGGAAACCGCGTAAACTGTGACCATACTACGTGGGATTTGACTTAATTGATTACAACATCGAGATCCTGACCTGATAGAAAGTTACTGTCTCGGACAAAGTTGTTCAGGAGCTCATAGTCTTGTCGCTGGCAGACAGTAGTTCAGAATTTTTTCACTACGTAGCGCTAGTATACATGTGAAATTCTCGCATAGGATATATCTCGAGATCCTGACCAGATAGAAAGTTACTGCCTTTCACAAAGTTTTTCAGGAGGTCAAAGTCTATTGCTTGGTGCTCAATAGTTCAGGATTCACTCACTACGCGACGCTAGTATACACGTGAAATTCTCATATAAAATATCTCGAGTTCCCAACCAGATAGAAAGGTACTGTCTTCGGCATAGTTGTACAGGAGGTTAAGGCTTTTTCGCAGGTGGACAGTAGTTCAGAGTTTTCTCACTTTGCGGCGCTACTATACATATGAAATTTTTGCATATAAAATATCTCTAGATCCTGACAAGATAGAAAGTAAATGTATTCGGGAAAGAATAGTTCAAAATTGTCTCACTATGCGGCGCTATTATATACGTGCCTTTCTCGCTTATTCAATAGCTCGAGATCATGATCAGCTAGAAAGTTGATGTCTTCGGCACAGTTGTTTAGGGGGTCAAGACTTTTTGGCTGGTGAACAGTAGTTAAGGATTTTCTCATCACGTGGCGTTAGTATACATGTACACTTCTCGCATATGTTATATCTTGAGATCCTGATCAGATAGAAAGTTACTGTCTACAACAAAGGAGGGCAAAGTCTTATGGCTGGTGGACAGTAGTTCATAATTTTCTCACTTCATGGTGAAATTCTCGCAAATAAAATATCTCAATTTCTGGACCAAATAGAAAATTACTGTAGTCAGCAAAGTTGTTCAGGATATCACAAATTTTTTGCTCGTGGACAGTTGTGCGCGTAAAATGCGAAATTCTCTCTTCTGATATATCTCTAGATCCTTACCAGATAGAAAGTTACTGTCTTGAACAAAGTTGTTCAGGAAGTTAAAGCCTAGAGTTTGTGAGAAAATTCTGAACTACTGTTCACCAGCTAAAAGGCCTTACCCCCCTGACCAACTTTGCCGAAGACAGTAACATTGTATTTGGTCAGGATCTCGTGATATTTTATAAAAGGCGTTCAAAAATAACCCTTTAGAGATAATTATAAAATTTTGTCAGCAGAATTCATATTGCAGGGCTGGTATTGGGTATTTTATACAATAATATTGACTACAATAACGAAAAAATTGACCGAATAGTGACTCTAAAACAATAAAAAAGTGTTATTGATCGGAAAGATATTAAAGATATGGATCTAATCTGTCGTTGAATGCGATCCGCTTTGACAAATTCCCAAACCACCATGAGCATTTTACAAGTTTTTTTTTTAAATAATACAAATAGTTGAAGCATCTTATAAATTTGTTTTCGTAAAATCAGTATTAATTGGATAGGTTAATTTGTAACCTCCATTTCCCACACAGTACTCATTTTTCTGCCACGATTTTTTGGAAACCAACCGTTGAATAAGTTGAATTTAAATTCAGATCGCGAATTGGTTGAATTGGACATAGAAATTTATTAGGAAATCTTGAAATTGAAAAAAAAAATTAGGCAGACAGAGAAAAATGTTCAACGTCTTCCTCAAATTTGTCAATTTTAAGACAAGCAAACAGTTGAAGATCTCGAATATAGAAACTTCTGTAAAACTTCAAACATAGACAAATGTTCATGTCTCTGGAACCTAGACAAGTGCTGTGGATCGTATCAATAATTATCATTATTCTGGAACGACGAAAATTTTCCCGAAAAATCTCGATCTTCAAAAAAGTTGTAAGATTCTGGTCTACATTTTAGAGGTATTGGACGTTATTTTGTTTAATGCTGGTACTTAGTAATTCACGATCTTTAATTCAAACAAATTAAGAAAGCATAGAATAATTTACGATATGTTAGAATGTAAATTCACAGTCCGAGAAAAATTTAATCTTTCTAAAATATAGAAAAGATTTCATGATTTTAATCAAACAATTTATCTAAAATCTGGGATTGTTGATTCCGGACTTGTAGAACATACAATTTGATGGACTTGGAAAAGAACTGAACTGAAAAAAGAAGATTCTACTACATGATTTTTCGATGTTTGCCGGATACTAAAGCTTCCGGCCTTCAAAGATTTATCGAAATTCAGGTCTTTGAAAAAATCTGTAGCGCTTGGAAAGTTTCCTAGACCATTTTTCAACATCTTAAGCTTGGAAATCTTTCAAGATGACGAAGAGATATCGGAACCAGAGTTTATTTTTTTCGAAACTTTTTTTTCGGTTTTTTCCAGTTGGCTAACCTACTTTTCCCAGTTTAATTGAAACAATTAAATATGGTAAAATACCTCAAGTACCATCACAAGTTTTATCGCATGAATAGATTATTGTTTCGGTTATCCGTTGACCTTAAAGAATACAGTATGTAATATGTAGTAAGGTCAAAATATGTTATTCTCAATTGGGGATTGGAATTGAGAAGAGAATGGATGCATGCAAGCAAGTTCCAATGATGATTTTTGAAATAATCTTAATAGAATCTTAATAGGATTCCAAGAGGATGATTTGAGAATGCTTAGCAAAATTTCAATTTTTATTTATAGTAATTATATAGTGCTTTGTCCGGGTGAGATTTGAACTCATGATTTTGGAGTGAGAGGTACAGACTATCCTCGGTATTCAAAGATGTCCTAATCTTGGTATCTGGTTAGCACAAAGTGCAGAAATTAATGTTTAATTTATCTCTATGTCCGGTGTCGAACATTTGCATGCTAAGCATGATCGAAGTTTGCAAGGAGTTTGAGACGGCATGAATCTGCATCTCTATCTTGAAGTAACTTCGTAACAGGATATGTCTCGCTCAGCCTTTATACTAGAACTACTTCACTCGGAAAACTGTGGCAAAAGACTTCAAGCAATGACACCATATGAAATTCTATAAATTTAGCTATAGTAATAGGAACAACGACAAAATCACCGCTTGATCCGGGCGCGAACAGATTGCAAGTGAGAGAAAAGAATAATATGAAAGTTGTAAGCAAGAGAGTATAATGATGTATGTGCTATAAAGTTGATTGATTCCAGGTAACATTACAAGTTTAAAGGTTTAAAGGATTCTTCAAGACCAAATGATGGCCTACAAGACTAATATAAAATCAAAATTGTTACTTGGGATGAGTATATATGATCTTTCCCGGAGCAATTTGAGTTTTCCCGGAGTTCCCGGTTTTTTTCCCGATTGGATGGACACCCTGCAAGTTGCCACACAATTAAACTAATGCATAAATGGTACAGGCATCTAAATTAATAACTGTACGAGTGCATCTAAAACACTAAGTTGAGAGCACACAATAAGCTAATATGCGATAAGCAATAAGCTTGAAATGCGAGGAAAAAGACTAACGGACGCGCTGCACCGGCTGTGATTCTGCGTTTTAGTAGAAGGAAAGTGCTGTACTTAACTTATATTATACCCATAAAGTGTCTTAAACTAAACAGAAGAGGAATGTGTTCTCCTGTGCTCTCCATCCAAACATTGAGCACCAGTCACCAAAAAGGACATATACCTACATGAACATTACCCAAGCTGTTTCAATCAGTCATCTACAAAATCAACGGTTTAACCGATGATCATTGCATATAAGGTGTCTAATCTTAATCTATCGATTATAGTTTCACGAAAACCTTAATATTTTCACTTGTGAATTGCACAGTGTCATAAGAAAATTAACTAGAACCCATAAAATGTCTCGTAAGAAGAAACTTAGTAGCATCGTAACGTTTTTTTGATAGGTATCTTTCTAAAATTCCATTCAATTTCCATTCTTCTATGGGTGCGATAAGCATCCAGGTTAACACTAATAAGCTCCTGAGAAATTGGTTTAGGAAGTCCACTATATGGGAAGGAAATGATTCTAAAAGTTCTAAAGAATCTACGTCCTGAGAAAGAAAATACGGAACACGTGTAAATACTGAATGTGGGAGTTCGTCATTAAGGTTGGATTTTTATTTTCATGGCCCCACTCTCACAAAAATTTATTATAATAAGGACTTCTACAAACATAGTGACTTGTCAATCAAATTCGTCAGTTGTAATATGTGTACTATATTTATGGCACTGTAACAATTATCCCCATCCTTGTTACTGCTGCTGCCTTCAGATCTGCGACTAGTGATTTGCAATTATACGTGCACGTGTGATAGGTCTAGCATCTCTACAAAAGCTCATCATCCCTACGAGCATCCGTCTAGTATCGATCGTACAGTTTTTTGAAGATATCCCAAAAGGTAAGATTCAAAACAGAATGCGGAACTACTCGTACATACAGCGGAACGAATCCTTTGTACATCCCATGAACTCCTTCAGATCGGTAGATTTTTACAAAACAATCAAAGATGTTCTTGTACAGCAATCCTTTGCCGGTCGACGATACACCTATAACGAGATAGTAAGGAACGTTACACTGCCCAATTCTAAGCAGCCGTCTTATCGCGACAAACCTTGGTTGGTCATCCGGGTTGTGATCACGTCACACGGTGACATCAGCACTGAAGTGAAAAATCCTGCCACGGTACTACTTGCCAACGCTGTCAGCACTACCGACTCCTGGAATAACTCGTATTGCACGAAGAAATCTTTGCACGCAGTAAATGAGGCCATCTGAGTCGCAGATCCCATAGTAATCCGTGCCATGTGTGCCGTATAGCCTCTGTACAGCCCCTTGATTCCACCTTCCCGGTATATATTCCGGAATGCAGCCACCACTCCAGTGTGCCGATGTTGGAACTTTGTCGTATAGCTCCCACTGCTAACAGCCTGCATTTGTGTTTTGATTACATAAAACGGGCAGGAAACCGACGCGCTGATTCCGGCGATGCCACCCCAAAACACTGATAAGAAAGGCGTCAAAAGTGCGTTGTCACTGCGGGTCCAACCGAGATTATCCACCGTCTGGTAGGTGCCCAGTCGAAGGCTATTCATCGAAAATTGATACAGGACAGCAGCGGGTAATCCCTTATAAAGGCCTCGTAATCCATCGGTCTTGACCACCGTCACAATCGACTGCCCTAGGCCTCGATAGGCACGATTTTTGACGCTGCCTTTGGCCAGGAGTTCTCCTTCCAGCTGTTGACGAGTCTTCAGGACGTCGAACGGATTTGTGAAGAGTACGGCACAGCAGGACGAGAAACCCCCTAGCACGAACTCCATTTCTGTGCAGCGACTGTTCCAGACTGGAATTCAACGACTGGCGACAAATGAGAAGAACGCGCATGCGCGCGAAATTTTCTTATTATCTTATCTTATCGTTATCTTTATCGTTAGCCAAATGAGGATGCAAACAGCGGTTAGTGATTGACAAGCGTTAGTTAGAATAGGCAAGCATAGAGTACCTGGAATGGTACAGTTTCACCACAAGCTAGAAGGTGTGTCCCATGGAACAAACTCACTCCGATGTCTCTGATCGACCCACGCAAGGTAGAACGAAAAAATGGAATCCCATAAAAAAGAACTCGGACAGCTCACAAAAGGTGTACGATGAAAAGCTAATGACCTACGTATTGACGCTCTGATATGTCGGTACATTGAATGGAGGACAGGCACAGGAAAGAATTTTAATGTCGCTCTTTCTTCTTTTTAATCTACCATGTTCGTAGCATTTCCCATTGGAATGTATTCTGTCTGAACCAGTTGGACTTTTTTTATTCTTTGTTTTCAAACCGCTTTTGTTGTTATGGTTACCCCCTGGTTTCTAGATTTATGTATTGCACCGTAACGAACAAACCTGTTGTATGGGTCAAGGAAAGTCGGATTCTATTTTAAGATGATTCTGGCGGTTGGTTGATATTTATAGCGCCTTGAGTGGGAAGGGTAATTACAGAAATTTTCTCATAATTTCATCTTTCAAATGCGTTGAAAATATATATGGAATCATTAATTAAAGAGTTTATAATTTTGTTTGACTTACTAACGAATCCTGGAATCTATGGTTGGGTCTATTGGATGCCTCAAGAAATATGTTATGGTGTTTGCCTGGAATTTATCCTCCTGGTGTTTCCTCTACAATGCTTATTGAACTAATTAACTAGATTTTAATACAACAATCAACACAACAGAGACAAAATCAAGGTTTCTACTATCACGATATCTCGGCACCAGTGTCTCTCTTCGTGTGAACATTTCCCCTTATTTTGAAAACAAGAGCTATTGGCCTCAACGTTTGACCTATTGGAAAATTTGAAAGACGTAACCGGAGTGGAAGACAATGCCGCTGTGTTTTGCCTTGGGGTTAACGACGATGGTGTGCTCAATATTTCATACCCTTTACTTTTCAGATCAGCCAATTCCTCTTCGACGATCGATGTGTTCTGCCCAGCGCATTTCCCATGAAATCGTCTGGCACAGGTTCCATCGCACTCTGCACGTAGATCATTCCTGTGGATGTGTTGTAAGCACTTATGGCAGCTCATTGTTATCGATAGAAAGCAAACAACATATTTTTCCCGGTTTCATATAAACAGCTTAATATGGTAAGAAATGAAAAAAGAAACTATGGCATTTTATTTGAAAAACCATAGAAAAACTCCCTCTCAAGGAAAACAAAATAATTTTCAAACTTTTGAAAATTTATTACGTCTTAATATCGCAACAATTTGCCACATTATGATACATAATCTAGATACTCATTAAACTTCAGAGGAAATAAATTTTAAATGCTTTTAAATAGTGGAAGATGCTAAGTTTCAAATAACTGAACTCAAAGTGGTTATTTTATACGATAGATGAGGAGATGAAAGTACAGAGTTGAAAGTACGGAGATGAAAGTACAGAGTTAAGAGTACGGCAGAGTGAAAATTGTATATAGAGAGTAGAAAGCGAGCAAGGACTACTTTGAGGAAGGTACGAATCGGGTTGATCATCTCTCTTTACCAAACTCTCCAGTTGGAGAGGGATGGTAAGGAGTATCCCCTCCCCGCGCCACCACTGACAAAAGGAGATGATCGTACAGTTCTATTGATTGTCCCGCACTCAAGTCTTTATCTGAAGGGAGGCATCTAGCAGGGCTGGTAGCAATCACTGCTGTTAAAAATAGTGATTTTAGTGACCATTTTGATGAAATAAGTGACCAAATAGTGACTTACAGTTGTACAAATAGTGACTAAAAAGTGACCTAAAAGTAAATTTTAATGAAAACTCTTAGGAATTTCTGAGGAGCTTCAGAGGAAAATTCCAAGGGCATTCTGAGCATAATTTCATAAAGTTTGTGGGAGAAAACGAATCCGAAGCATAAGTCCTTGGAATTGTTTTGAAAATCCTAAAGGAGGATTACAATTAAATCTGAAAATAACTCCAGGGCATCTTCAAAGGAATTCGGAAAATGAATTCAGGAGAGTTTGCCAAACAAATTATGAGAAGAAATCTAAGTAATTTGTGAGGAGAAATGCCAATGAATTCTTAGGAGACTTTCAATGTGAGTAGAATTCCAAGGGACGGAGTGAGATTGAAAATGAAATCTGAAATGAATTCAATGAATATTCGGAGAATCTTTCGAAAGGGTTTCTTATTGTGGAGAATTCCAAGGAAAACTAAAAGAAAATTGAATTCGGAGGATAGCTTCACCAAAATTTTGAGGAATATTTCAATGGAAATCTCCGTATAATATGGAATGGACAAATCTGATGTTTTCAGAACTACTTGAAAGTTCTCAATTTTTTCCTGAATTTAATGAAACTGCCTTGAAATTCTTTTGTAGATTGAGAAACTAACGTGAGACTCACAATACTTCTCATCAAATTCTTAAAGTTCCCTGAACTTTTTAGGACTTCCTAAAGTTTCCTGAATTTTTCAATGATCATGGATCTCCTTTAAACATTTAACAATTCGCTGAAGTTCTCTAAACTTCTTTAAAATTCATGTGATTTCTCTAATGTTAACGGAACTGCTCTGAGGTTCTTTGTTCTTTTCTGAAATTCTCAAAACTTCTCTAAAGTTTTAACAGTTCTCATGAATCTTGTTGTATTGCGCTGAATTTAATTGAACCGCCCTAAAAATGTTTAAGCTTCAGTGAGCTTCTGAACGTATGCGAAGACCTCAATTAACTTTATAACGTCTCTGAAGTTATCTGAAAATCCGGGTACTGCATTAAACTTACCACTAATTTTCTGAAACTAAAGGAACTGGCCTCCCCAATGTTCATAAAAAATACTGAAGTTCGCGGATCTCTCCTTAAGCTCCATAGATTTCTATAAAGTATTCGAAATGTTTGTGAAGACCACAGTCCTTCTGTGAAATTTTCGAAGTTTTTCTAAATTTCTGGAACTTTTATGGTACCGCAATTTTCATGGAATTAGAACGAAATAATTAATATAGTTCTATGATTTTCATTGAAGTTCTCAAGATTTTTTTTAGAAGTTCACTTCCCTTAAATTATCGACACTTATTTGAAACTTCTTCAATAGTCTAGACTTTGTGGTATTTAAACTGCCTAAACGATTATTGAATTTCTTTAAAGTTCTCTAGACTGCCCGGAATTTTCAGTATTTTTTAAGAACCCACAACTTTACTGAAATTCAATTATTTGCCTTAAAGTTTCGACAATTTCCCTTAAGTATTATAACCCCATTTTTTCCTGAACTTATCAGTGGTTACCTGAAGTTCTCTTAATTTGTTTAATAATCCAGCAATTTGTTTGATATATATTCATAATTCCCGGACGCATCTAAATTCTCTGAGATTCTCGCAACTTCTTTAAGGTTTCTACAATTTCCTTGAAATGGTTTGAACTGCCCTTTGATTCTATCTGTCTTGATGTTCTCGAAGCTTCCCTAAAACTTTCAATTCTATTGAAGATCTCGGTTCTTCTGCTCGGAAATAAATGGAATTTCCGTAAAAAATTTTAAATTTCCCTGAAATTCTCTGGATTTCTGCGAAGTTTATGAAATATTTCTGAATTTTTCATAAATTCTCTAAAAGATTCTGTACTTCCCTGAAATTCTCGGAACATCTTAAGGGTTCTCGATTTTTTTTCAGCACATCATGGAACTAACCTGAATTTTTCTAAATTTACGATCATAGATATTTAAACTGCTCCAAAGTCTGGAGTAAAGCTCCGGAAACTGCTCTTAAGGTCTGAAATTCCCCAAAAAATCTCTAGATCTAGCTTTTCTGAGGTACTTAGAGCTTCTTAAAAAATGCACCATCCCCGTCATGTTTTCTATATTTCTCAAGTTCGCTTGACACCTGTGAAGTTCTTTGAAATTCAAGGAGCTTCATAAAACTTCCCGAAAATTTTCGGATGCTAAAAGAACCGCTTTGTGGTTCTTAAAGCTTCCAGTAAGTTCCCCATATTTTTAGCGTATTAACTTCCCTTAAGTTCCCGCAGTTTGTTTATGGAGCTTCACTGAAATTCTCATCATTTCTTTTCATTACTCACTACTTCGCCAAAGTTCCTACGAACTTGCAATAAATCATTTATTTTTTCCTTGATTCTTGCACTTTGAAAATTTTCAATACCTTGAACTTGTAAATGGAATACGAAACTTCAAGGTATTGAATAATTTTTGATCTTGGAATTGCTTAAATTGGGTAAGTTCTTTATAACTTTATTAAGTGAGACATTAAGTAAGTGATAAACTTCAACATTCAATGGATTTGATTGTAAAGCTGTTTCTTTAAAACTGATTGACATGTCTTAAAAACGTTTGGGTAAATTGCTGTTGTTTTTGATACCCAAAAAAAAAAGTATATTTAAAAATTTAGCTTTATTATAAACCTGGAATTTATCCGTTAAAATACTGGGAAAACCTGGAAAAGTCAGATAATTTTATTTAGAAAAATGAATAGACACCTTGTAGATAAAGAAAGACGATTAAACGCCTAAAGCAAAGAATGATCAATCTAGAAATAAATTCACGCTAAAAAAGTTGAAAATAGTGACTGATTACAAGAAATAGTGACTTTAGTGACTTGGCCTTAAAAAAAGAGACTTTTTAGTGACTGGCTTGAAAAAAATGACTAAGTCACTAAAAAGTGACTCGCTATCAGCCCTGCATCTAGTCGTAGATTTGGAAATTGCAGCTATTGTTGTCTCTACCACTGTTCTTAAATGTATCTGAATTTTTAAATTTATCTAGGTTATATGTAAATTATTCAACGGGCATTAGGCCAAATTCATAGACATTATTTTAGAAAATGATACGATCTACGGAATAAAATTAGAATTCTCGGACTAAGAAGTTGCATTACATGAGATTTTTTGTTTTTCAATACTTCAAGGTTAGGCTAGTTTTTTTTCATAAGAGTATAGGCTGTGCATTTGAACAAGTTTGACGTGAATTTTCACCGCAGTTATTTTTTTTTTGACGCGTAAAAAGAGGAAAATATATTTCACCATATTTTTATAACAGTATTAAATACCAACCATCACACCGGTCCAGAAGCCGCTAACAAGGAGTTCAAGCAAAGAGTCAAGAAGGAGCTCCGAAAACAAACTCCCCCACTGAACTCCCGATGTTATTTCTTTTGCGACGACGCCACGGAGAAGCGACCCAGTTATTGTGTGGTTGGATTCGCTGGAGGAGGAATTGTTTAAAAATGACTAGAGAAAATTAAGCATCGGGAATGCGCTCCCGGAAATATTGATTTGGTGAGTACGTTCCAGTTGAAGATTTTTCTCTCTAAATAACCCTTTTTTGAATACATTTCATTATGCTGGGTTTGGGGGGATGGGGCAGCCTAAGGGTTTCAAAGGATTTGTAGACTGGACAAGGGTTCGTGGATTTGACAGTCCCTTGTCACGTGTTGATAGACGTACATCTCGTCGTTTGTCTTCCAAAGGTCTTCAATGAAGTTGATTCACCCTGCTGCAACAAACCATCAGGCAGAACTTTACAACCAGTGAAGTATCTGCAGTCATAGGTAATCCTTGCACTGATGGTGGG